TTACTCTGAGCGTTTCAACTCGTTTGTTAGTTTAACATAATCCATAAAATAATAAACCATACTCATATAAGTTTGTTTGGGACACACTTAATTATACCGAACTAGTTTGACTGAACTCCGTTTATGTATATTGAGATTAACGATCATACTTTATAATTTGAACATATTTTTTTTATGCGTATAATACTACCATATTTGTACTGATAACGGAAATTGGAATAGTATTTATTTTGTAATTAAGATAATATTTATTATTTCTTAACATCACAAATCGCCAATCTAATCACGTTCGATACCTGTACAGAAATTATATGCATATTCCAATTTCCACTTGGTTTAAACGGGACGTTTTCAATATACTTTTGTTTTACCTTACAATAGTGTTATATTCTTTTGTTTTAAATGCCACGGCTTTTGTGCACAAGTTGTTCGAGCCCTCCGGCTGATATGCCCTTCATACATGACCTTATATTATGATGAATGTGCCGGTTATGGTGTAATAACATTTAATGCTTGTGCACCTTATTAGAATCGTGTCCAAGTATGTGTATTATATGACCGTGTGAGCTGAAGGAGGCGGTTTATCGCGATAGGTGGACGGCCATTGGGTTTCACTCTCGTTCGATCATTATAACAACCGATCCAAAGGCAAATTATACACTTACGGCTGACGACGAATTAGTATTTTAATTTCATTCGAACACGAAAAATATAGATCCCATCTATACCTATGTAATGTATATAAGCTGAATGAGTTTTCACTTTTTATTTGCCAACGATATTCATTAAAACTATTTTCTAATTCCGTTATATCAACAAACTGAACTCGCTCAAGACGCGTACGGTCGTTTTGCCTTATATAAGTCCTGTAAACGGACGTCAGATCTACGAATAAGAAACTATTGTAGGTATTCAAAAATAATAGAAGAATTACAATTTGCGTGGGCATCGACACATTAGACATTTATCTTTGGCTATCATTTTAACCGAAAACCCGAAGTTTTCGAAAAACAAAAAATGTGATGCGTCGCAGCGAATGGGCAAACATAAAAAAAAAATGATACTTCACTAATTGGATTTGTTAACACAAAACTATATCGATCGAGTTTTTGGGACCTATCCCTTTCGTTACTGACATCCTCGTACGAGGATTTAACATTAAAAATCGAATAAAATATTAACAACGTACTATCATTATTAAAAATGTCAACCGGACGGTTTTAACGCAACGGGACCGGATAGGTTGTTCGGCAGGAATGTTTAAACGAGAGAAAAAGACTCTTTGAAGGAAAACGGCTTGTCATACGTCGCGAACGAATCCGATGAAACAGAAAACGGGGTCGGTCGGAAAGTAGTAGTAGTAGTAGCTGGCGTTTGGTGTGATAACCGTCGAAACATCAACCGGAGGTCCGGTCAGGTGAACCCTTTTTTTTAGAAAAAAATGAAAAACCGCACGAACTTTTTACAATAATATATTAATAACGTCGGCGTTCGCCGAAGCCCTTTTTTAATTTTTTTACTTAAACCGTTTCAGGTTTCAACGAACTTGTTTGCTCGCCGTTTTTCCGGTCCAAAAAAAAAAAAAACAATACAAATAAAGAACAACACAATGCGACCGCTTGTGGTCGGTAATGTTATTTCCACGACGGTTTTAATTATTTAAACCGGAATACTAATCAGTGTCTATTTATCATTAACGTGTCGTTTATAAGGCGTGTGCTTATCACCTCTGTAGTCTTCTGGCCATCGCCATGCGCGTATATTATAATAAAATATATATGTTTCACATATTGTCAACAGTAATTTGCCGCACACTACAACGGTCGTGCGTGACAACTATATCATAAATACTCGTATATAACAACAGTTAAAAATTATAATACAATGATATCATGAGGGTGTCTCGCAATTAATATGTAACTTGCACGCGGGGCGCTACGAAAAAACAAAATTAAAGAAAATGTGTTTAATGAACCGGGGGTCAATGAAGAATTACTTGTCGAAATTGATAGGGCATATATTTTATGAGTACACTAACGCTGGTCCGCTATACTGCTAAAAAGCGAGTATTAATTGTTTTTTCGGCGTTTGTTTGGCTATTAACGAAAATGGTTTTATGCACTCGAAATATTATGATAATGAGTCGTGCAACTGAGTACACCAAGAAGGTACATCAACTAGCCGCTGGTATAATAATATAATACGAGGCGTCTAGTTTCAAAACCAGCTAGAAGCAATTTTTGGAAATGTTCACGAACAACAAATAATTTCTTCAGATGGGCAATTTTAAAATCAACCAAGATTTTCTCAATACAGTTTGAGTTGTTTATAACTTATAATCTTTATTTGATATTCAATAATAGTTTTACATACCATGTAATACAGTGTGGCCACTAAAAAAAAAGAAACACGTTTTCAAAATGTCTTTTAGCTGGTTTTGGAACTAGACGCCTCATATTATATAAGTTATAACAGTTATTTTACATTGAAATACATTATATAATTTATGCTTAAAATAAATGTGAATCATTTTACAAGTCCATCAACGAGTCTTACAAGCGTGGGAATCAAACAACCTATTTTTTTTAAACCAAATTTAAAAAATGTCGATGTTATTAATTTAAACGTGTTTTTCTCATTAATACCATCAACGCTGATGCAGAAGGGGGGGGGGGAGTGACGCCGTCGGGAAAAAATATTCTTCAAGACCAATTTATTATATATATATATATATATATATATATTTGTTATAGAATATACATATAACGAATCTAACTCCGGGTGGTTATGAGTGTAATTCTGTTTGAAACCATAATTACTGTTAAACATTGACACGAGCATCTAGGTATTTTATTTTATAAGACCACCAATATAAATAACAACAGATTAATTTAGTTATACGACTTTTATCCAGTTCTAAAAATAACCAAAATGAATGAAACTAGACAACCATTCAACGAACAGATTAACGTCTAGGAAAATATTGTCAACGTCAAACTCCAAAACTGATTGCACTTGAAAACTGTATACATTCCATGTTCGATCAAAGGTGATTTTGAAATGAGAAAATCTCAAGTATATTAATATTCTTTACATCCAAAACTAACACTTTTAGAAATTTCCCCTGACAGATTAGAAGATGATTTCGTCTGAATAAAATAATTCGTGAAATACACGCCAATACTTCATCGGTACGATCGACACTTAACTTATTATAATTAATAAGTAAAAGTAAAAATCATACTCAACACGTTCGAATACCTTCTAGTATCTACCATAAAACCGTTAACCGACGGGTCGAGTAGCACGATAAAAGCGAACAATATGTTATTAATACATACCCATAGTTTGACGATCATTTTCTAAACTCACTTTTATACATATTCCAAAATGAGTTGTAAGACGAAAAAGTGAAATGACTCTAGTGACTAGTCCGTAAATCATGAACTGTTGTCGTGGGCTTAAGTACATCCACTATACTTGACTGTCGATAAGCACGTACTGTAGAGACCTAAACATGTCAGGACACTGTTGGAAGTTCAGTAAAATTCTGTCCGTAGTAAGATGATAGTGGGCGCAACTAAATTTTCAATTGTTCAGGGTAATCATATTACAGAATCTAGATAATTGCACGTCAGCAGCTACATAATATAATTTTAAATATTCAATTATAAAACAAGTGTGCTTGAACAGTCGTATGTACTAATTTTGAGCCTAAAGACGTTTAAGTTGTGTTTTGGCACCTTCGAGTCGTATACACGCGGCAATCTTTCGGCGTTAATATATAGGATTTGATTCTAACTTAGGCCGTCGAGGCCGACCATCGCTAGCCCCGTTTTCAATTTACTTCACAATTAGTCACAAGCGCCGAAGGAATGGTTGTTAGTTCTCTAAAAATACACCTTAAAAAGCGACTCGTTTTATGGGAAAATAGACATGACTCAGAAGTAATTCTACGCACGATTATTACACATATGAACGCTTTATATGACGGCCATAACTCAACACGGTTACTTTGCCGTAACTGTAAGAGCATGTGTGTCCCTTATAGCCTCTCGGTCTTCGCCATTGAGAAAACCGACACGGACGCATAACTTGTTTTAGTATATGTTTACACCGTGTGTTCAGATTGAATAACTTTGATCTTTTCATGAAAAATATAACCCACCCATTGGTCTTAGTCGAAAGACAAGGAAAAATCGTCAAATTACCAAACATACGATATATGATCCGCAAATGAAATAATTGGAGTTCAGATATTAGTATTGTAATTTAATAAGAAATGAGTTCAGGATAAGATTAACTAACTCAAACGACGTATTGGGTTTTAGACTTTAACAAATTAAATCCCCTTACCCATTCAGTCCCAGATAATGTCAGTATTTAAGAAAAGAAAAATAGAAAAGATAAAGAAAAAGAAAGTTGATGACACTTTAAATTGTTTTTAAGGGAACATGAAAACTAACAATAATATGTAGAAGTTACATTTCATATTTTTTGAAATTATTTTAGTTAGTTGTTGTTATTATTGTAATTAGTTGTTTTTAAAGCTATGTTTTTTTCTTCCTTAACAACACAAACACAATTCAGTTCCCACTGAGTATTCGATACCATCCGAGAAGACCTATTTAGACTTATAGCGATATAATTTGTGATAAAGGGACGGGTCTCGGACATTTAACAGCCGTCTGGCAGTTCATTGAAACTTAAATGATTTTTGTGTTGCTAGAATAACCTTTATAGAATAATTGAGGTGTTGCGTGACATAATAAGCAATCTCAGTTATCAATAAGCATAGTAATTTCTTGTAAATTGTAAAAAATTAATTACCACGGGCACCTACTATCAAAGCGTTTTATCTGTGATGAAAACCAGTGTAACCAGTAGATGCAGCGTGGATAATATTATACAAGAGAAGATTATGAACTTGGATTTGCATAAAAAATAACTTTGTCACACAACGCTTCTAGTGCTACTAATAATTAATAATTAACGTTTACCGTTATCGGTGCGTTTGTCTTGCGTCGAGTCCTCCGGGTCCGAATCGATGTGCGGTATCGAGTTATCCGCGTCAAACGCGTTATGTTCGTGTTCGACGTTGTCCGTCACGGCCGCCGTCGAGCTGTCCGTTGTGCCAGCGCACGCCCTGTCCAGGCACCCGTTGCACGGATACACGATACGGTCGAGGGGCACGCGATGCACCGAACGGTCGACCACAGCCACCAAATGCTTGAGAGTGGTGCTCAACTGTTCCAAGTCGTCGGCCAACATGGCGGACGAGTCCGTGGATAGACGGACACTCAGCCGGGCACCCGCGCCTACCCAGTTCAGCGTCAGCCCGATCTGGGCGACGTCGAGCAGAAGGTAAGCGTCCGACGCAGCGGCGCTAAAAGTGGGTGCCGCCAAGTGAGTTAGCACGCCTTGCCGGCCGTGGGAGAGTGGCCACCCTGTACACGCATCGCAACACTGTGAACAATAAAAACACATATTATATATTAAAACGCTGGCTCGATGACAGTTTATTTTATCAACACCCCAAAGCTAAAAAAGTATTCACCCTCTTTTTATTAGCCTTTAACAAACAATGGTTTTAAATATTTCAATATAACCACGGATTTGCGCTCAATCATTTTTTTTAGCTTTAATGAACAAAGCATTCAACACATTGCTACGCACGAAAGCGTGTCACTTCCAAATTTGTTATCATCATTTAACTAGGTAAACAATTCCAAACCAGCGTCTATTTCGAAAACGCGAGTCTCACAATCAGTTAACTTTATGTTTGTGTTTAGCATACACAACGGAAACGAACGGTTTTTACAGTAACATAATTGAATACTGTATATGGTGTAATACTTTACATATACACGTTGTACACACAGAAATCATAGGCAAAGTCTATAAATAATAAATGTATAGCTCCATCGGTCAATGAATGCAAAAAAAAAGGTCAATATTTACATGAGACGTTTAAGATTTCACCGATGTTAAATCGACGCATTGACCTCGTTGTTAATAACAATGGTTCGTAATCTTTTCCTAAAATATAGACAGTGTCAAACAATTTATGTGCAATAGGTGGTTAGTGTCGTTGATTTTTATTAGAATTTTTTTTACCGAAGTATATACTTAAAACGGTTTTATAATAATAATTAAAAAAAAACACACCGAGACCGTTATTATTTTTTTAATTGAGTAAGTTATGAGTTTTATGGTCAAAGATACAGATTTAAACACGTCTAATTATTTTCAAACCGGAAAACGTTTTGGTAACGATGTGTAGATGTGTATACCGATGCCATTTTCGGATGACGATATACTGCGGTAGATTTGAACTATTTAAAATAAAATGAAATATGTACACTTATTTTTAAAACCTCGTATAGTTTGACAGACTGCCGGTCGTTGTTTAACAGTAAAAAAAATCAGCTATCCGTGCTCGCCGCCGACCGAAATGTTGTTTGACAGAAAATTAAATCCATAATTAAATAGCAAGTATAATCCTTATTTTTGTCCTTCAAAACTACTGACGCGATTTACATGCGGTTTTTTTTGTATTTTGTAGATAACAGAAGAACATAGGTAAATTTAAATTTAAGAATAAAAGTTATATTCTGGTCAAGTGGCACTGCTGAGAGCCTTCCTATTCTTACATTATTGTCACTGTGTCTTTGTCATCAGACTTGCTGATTATACATATTTTGTATAGATTGTAAATAAATACAAATTTTTTAATAAATAAAAAAAGAATAAAAGTAAGAAAATACAAAATAAAAAGTCAGCATCATGTGGGAAATCGAACTTGAACCACCTCTTGGAAAGGTAAGGGATATAACGCTAGACACCGAGGATGATATATTGCAATTGTATTAATGAACCAAATATACAGCAACCATACAGCTAGTATATGGTAGGTATTTATTTACAGTTAAAACTGAAACCGACTCCTTTTTTCGACGCGCTTAATAAGGTCGCAATTTGTTATTACCAGAGAACCTTAAACAAACAGCCAAGGTTAGCAATAGTCGTATAATTCAGCAAACGGCGTGGGGGCATCCAAAGCCCCCGGATATACTATCTGAACTGACTGAAATGAGTTAGGTCGCCTCTAGAATTATGTATTTACAAAAGCCGCGAGCGTACACCCTCAGGAAGTAACAACAATCGACCAATTTAACAGTTGAACGATTGCGAACCGACGACGGACTTCCAAACAAATTAAAGTAACCGGAAAACTGAAAACACGGTATAATCATAAATCGACCATTAATGGTTTTGTATGTAGATACTAAATATACAAAACGATCGGCACTAAGGGTTTCTATTTGTTATACAACAAAAAAATACATTAAATTTATAATTTTCAGTCTTCTGTTCGCATTTAATTTAAAGCATATAGTATAATAAGTTTGTTTGATTATACGTTAACATACATATAAATGAGTATAATATTATAACAATCAGCGTATAAGATTATACTCACTGGGGTGATTATTACTGATCACTTGTATATCGACGATTAATACATTTGTACCATTTTGCGTAGGTATTCCTGTATTCTGCAGATGTCGATACGATCATGTGGATGTGGAAACGCGACGAAATGATGATAATATATTTGGGGCACAGTATTTGATAATACCTAGTAATTCACATTTTATTTTGTTATGTCAGAGCGAAGGATCGCAGGAAAAATAACCAGCTTGTTTCTAATAGTAGGTATACACACCATTGCATTAGTTACCGTTCATTGGTTTTCCACACCCTGTCTCCGCAAACCGAATCGGCCGGTCGCTCTACAACGGCATAGCACCGGAGTCTGGGGCATTGTAAAATATTTTGTTTGGGCTACGGACGACGTGTCGACCGTGTAATTTGGATTTGCATACGTCCGGCGATCCAGCGGCCCAAAGTAACGGTAGGAATTTGCACAAACATTCACATGAACTGTATGCACACTCTGGGGCGAGCAATGGTAATATAATAATGTACTTAATGTGAACATAGGCGTTGACTATAGAGTGCGAATATTGTAAACGTACAATACATTTTTTTTTTTTTTTTTTGTACGCTATCAAACGAACATTTTATTGAAATTGAATAGAATTATAAATTATACCAACGTACATAAATCGACTAAAAAAAAAGCCGCTTTAAAGTAGACCACCGAACAGTAATGCCGAAGAAATTCCAATAAGTTGTACCGTAATTTATGGTCTGTACACCATTGGAATGTAGTTGGGGGTTAAAAATAAGTCTTTTAACTTTTCGAGGTAAGCAAATTAGCGCAGTACTTTCGCGAGAGTTATCTCGATGTTACGAAAAACACTCCAAACGAAAACGAAGAAGATTAATAACAGAAAAAAAAAGAAGAAACCAAGAGACGACGTCAAAATAGGAGCGCACGATACATGCAGGCCCCGGACACAGATAAAAATTAATATTGGAAAGATATTTATCACACAAAAACGGGGCGGCCATCTTCTTAAGGCTACACCACTTTAATGTTATTTTAGCTATAAGCTATAGATTAATATTTTTAGTTGTGTATAATACTAGGTCTTTTAAAAAAAGGTAGTCTTTTTTGTTTACATTAAAAGTGGCCCTATTGTTTTTAATCTATTCTATGATTAAGCTAGTATACCGCTATCACCATACAAAATACACAAAAATGTTTTATAAAAAGAGCCAGACTGGGTACAGATCTCTGATATAACGTGTCGCTGAAAGGAGATTATTGTCATACGACATCGAGAAACATAAACTAACATGGTCATGGAACTAATATTAAAAACACCATAGTGACGTGACGTCAGCTGCCATCAACACAATGGTGGCAGATGGTGGCAACCTAAGTTGGGGGGGGGGGAAAGGAGAAGACTGATGAAACAAAAATACATAATCCGTAATGACGTCCACTCGATGAGATTTCAATACCGAGCAGACGACGCCACAAAATCCTGTCTCATACGACTGCCGCCATCGCGATTATTAATACTCGAAATGGGATTGAGGAATACCCAAAACCCTATGTACCACGTTAGGTGCTGAGAGAGAGAGAGAGAGAGAGCGGATTACACATAGGTCGCGTATCGGACCGGATCTTAATGCCGTCTGAATTCATAACGAGTGTTGGTCGGTCAATGCCTGCCTATAATAATACTATTAAAATATGGGCGCCTTATCGTTAAGACTAGATTTAAATGCGCAAAGCACTGTTTATAGGCGCCCGGGGCTGAACACTCATCGTGTTAATTATTTTCGGGCACGTTGCAATATTTGGATTTAAACGACCGATAAACGACGTCTCAGCCGACCAGGCAGTTGAGAACTGCATGTGCAATCGAACAATCGTTCAGTGCATGCAACAATATCGATTATCACCGGTTTTTATAAACATATATATATATATATTTTGAAATTTATCGGTATTGCTTAAACGTTGGCCATTGGTACACGCCATAAAGGTAAAATACAGTGCGCCTTCGGGACGTCACGGCCACGGTCGAGAAGTCTTTAGCCCAGAGGATGTACAATAAAATATGTTCAGGGTCGGTACACTGCCGAGGTCATTCGGACGATCACAAAAAAAATCTTTACTTAAAAATGTAAATAAGTTACGATGCATATAAATATACATAAGTATTGTACGTTAATTATAATTAGTGTGATAATATACTATCAGACTAACTTATTGGAAATAAAACTTTTGTGAAAAAATAAGCAAATTATGAAAATTAAAGACTATTAACCCTAATTGTACTATTTTATCGATATTTAATATTTCTACCATCTACAGATTCGCATCGGAACTCGTATCCTTCTTTTTAAAAGTATTTCATCACTTTTCAAAACTGATATAATAATTCCTACAATTCCGTGGCTACACTGTTCTCACTATGCTCCGACCACACTTTGCTAGCTTTTTTACACTAGAATGTTAATATTATTTTAAGAATGCAATAACAAGGCCCTTATTAACTCATATTTTTGTACATATTTCTTTAAACTAATCGACGAGACTACTATTTTTACTAAACCGTGGGAATCAACTGGGTGTTCGGCTCAACGAAAGAAGAACGATCTATCTCATCCATTCATAAAATAAAATATTATTATTATTGTATTGCAAACCAATCGCAACACAACCGTTAACGTAGAACGGCAATCGAATAAAATAATTTTGTACATACTCGGAGTTGATTTTACGCCGTGACCGTTACCTCTAGGTTTTTGAATTACCGCTGCAGACGTCTACGTTACGGTTTATTGACAGTGGACTTACAAAGCAACGGCCAAATCAATAATAGTCCACGTATATACAAACTGGTTTCCCGTCAAAGTTCACTGTAACCGAACCGTAGGCACAAAGTATTTTTTCACAGTTGTATAGCCATCAGTTTTGATAACTCAACAAAAACTGATTTTGTTTTTACCGAATTTCGATTTCAAAACGAGTCATATTT